ATTTATTGTTGAAAGTATTACATAGATTTTTCTTTTCCCCCCATTAACCTCTTCCAGCATCCTCCCCCTTCCAGGCCCTCAAACCCCATTGTCTGTATCCATGGGTTATGCACATATGCATACAAGTTCGTTGATTGAGCTCTTCCCACCCACCCTTCCCTGCCTTCCCAGTCTGTTCATGCTTATAAGTCTCTGGGTCTTATTTATAGTTTCTACTTCTTGTTTTATACCTTTGTAAGTCCCACTAAGTGTCTTGAAATTCTCACAAAGTTTATTATGTATTTATTACCATTACCTTGAACTCTATATCTGATAAATTGCTTGCCTTCATTTTGTTCAACTCTCTTTCTGGAGTTTCCTCCTTTTCTTTTATTTGGGGGTTGTTTATTTTGTTTCCCCATTTTTGTTCCTTTGTATTTTTTTCTATGTATTAAAATAAATTGCTATCCTCCCAGTCTTCACAGGGTGGCCTTATGTAGTAAATATTTTATGGGACCTAGGGGTGCAGTTTCTTAAATACCCTGATCTGGGTTACTTGTGTGTTTGGGGTCTCCCATTATAATTGGGTCCTGAATGCTGCTGTCCCATTTGTGGGAGGAATATCCTCTGAAGTCGGCTGACTGTGAGGCTCACTCCCAAACACATCATCCAATCTATTGTCTAGGTGCTGGCAGATCAAAACAAAATAAAAACTTACAAAGCCCCTACAACAACACCCAAAGCAACCACAAGAGAGAATTTGAAAGTAGAAAAAGTACAATAAAAGAAGAAAAGAAAAGAGGAGGGGGAAAAAGAGGAAGAAAAAGAAATATGAAAGGCAAAGATGAAAGAAAGAAATTATATCCCTAACTGGTTTGGCTCAGTGGATATTCTAGCCAAGGTCATGTACCTTGATTGCAGGCACATCCCCAGAGGGGGTGTGCAAGGGGCAGCTGATCCATGTTTCTCTCTCATCAATGTTTCTAACTTTCTCTCCCTCTCCCTTCCTCTCTGTAAAAAATCAATAAAATATATTTTAAAAAAGAAAGAAATTAAGGATAAATAATAGGGGAAGGAAAATTGTTTAAAAGAAAAGAGAAATAAAAATTATGTGGAGAAAAATAGAGAAAGCAGATAGACAAAAAATCAAGAAAAGGAAAAACAAATAGAAAGGAGAATGAAGAAAAATAGAGTAAGAAAAGGGAAGAGAAAATTAGATCTATAAAAGAAAAAAGAGAGACTAAAATAATAATCAATAAAGAGAAAAAAATTAAAGTGGCGTTAATCTCAGCAGACTTCAGTGCCTCCTAGGAGGTCCCTTTGCATCCTGCTCTTCTGATAACCAAGGCTGTTCAGTCTGCCAATGCTGGGCTTCCAAGGAGGTACTCACGTGCTAACCACTGTTAGGAACTGCCCTTCTTTGGCTGTCAGCAACCTGTTGGAAACTTCCAGGGATCCACAGTTTGTGTCTTTCTTCATAGGACTTGGCTGCTCGCAGGAGGGGCCATGCTGCACTCTAAGGCCAGTTCCATTAGCAGTGCAGGGCCCAGTGATGGGTCAGCAACCTTTCCGAGGTTACCGGCTCTACCTCTGCCTGCCTTCACCTGCCAGCCTGCTGTCGAGCTTAATCACTCAAAAGTCTGTTTCTGAAAAGGCCTTAGGCAGAATCAGGAGTCTGGACCTCTGGGTCTCCCCTGAGGGAGAGGTGCCATTCAGATGTCAGGGAAAGTGATGAGTGTGTTTCCCTGTCCCAGACTTACTCCTCTGAGAGTGACCCAATGTTTTCCTGCCTGAGTTGGGCACAGATCCTCATATGCAGTCCAGGGATCAGCTGGAAACCTGGAGTTCCTATCAGCTGTCCTGTGAGGGGAGGCCCCAGGCAGATTCCCGGGATAGTCAGGTGGATGGCCCCATTCCTAGTCTAGTCACTGATGTTTCCTGAGACTATTAAAAACTTTAGGCTTGGCCTCTGCTGCTGTCTCCTCTGCAAAGGTCAAGATGCAGGGTGTGGTGGGCCCTAGGTGACACAGCCTGCCACATCCTCAGGAGCCCAGCCTGAATTCCAGGCCTCGATCTTCTCAATGAAACAACCCTCCTGTAGCCAAGATCCCTTTTCATTCTTGGCCTGCCACCTGTGGAAGCTGGGTCAGCGCTTCTCACCACCTCATCCTTCCGATCAGTCTCCAGGTGTTTTCTGTCTCTTCTTCAGCGGGGCCTCATTTGGTAATTCTGTGTGAATGTTCCCCAATTTAGTTATATTTCCAGCCTGACCCTGGGAGGGGGTGCAAGAAAGGTCTGCCTATTTGGCTGCCATATTCCTCAAGAACTGTCTCATTTAAAAAACCATCAGTTTTTCTGGAGGAAGAAGAGACTCCAAGAACTGCTTAAATGAGAAGAGAAGGGATTAGGGGGTTTTTTATTGAAAATGAGGCCCACTATCGTTCAGCCATTCAACCATCCATTCAACCAACATTTACTGACCACATGTCAATGCACCCAGCGAAGAGCCAGTTATGACATAATCCTAATTTGGGGGACTCTCTGAGATGCCCAAAGCTTTTTTGGTCAGGGGTCCCTTGGAGAAGTTGGAGTTAGCTCTGAGCCTGATGAGGCCTCGCACAGGCTTCCTGGCAACCAGTGTATTCCTTTCCTACTGTCCCTATGCCTGGCCACTGGCATAAATCTTTTTCATGACCAGTTGACCAAGAGATGTGACTACCAATAGGCACCGCTGAGGTGTGTACAGCAGTTGACTGGGGAGCACTAGGGCCCCAGCCCTCTGGAGACTCTGGACCACAAGCAGCCCTCTATTCTGCAGACCTCACCACCCTCCCAGAGCCCAGACAATTGACTGTTCAACTCCCTGAGATGCTATTATGTGTGCAAAGAGCATAGACAAAGCAGACAGAAATCTTGGCCCTCACTGACCAACATTCTAGCAGAGAAGCTAGCAAATCTGATGCCTAGAGCAGCCAGTGCTGTGAATAAGTGCAAAACAAGAGGAAGACAGACTGGAGCAGGGGAGGGGGCTGTTTGGATGGAGGGATCAAGGAAGGCTCTCTAAGGAGGTGCACTGAGACCTCAATCACCAGGTGGGCGGGGCCGGAGCAGAGATCTTGAAGACCTGTTGTCTCCCTTTGTGCCCAGCTTTGCTCTTCTCCCAAAGGCTTGTTACCGGAGGTCAAATGGCACTCCTGGTTTTTCGCTTGGTTCTGTCAATTTCTCAGTGATTTCCAAGAGGAAATACTAAACAACAGGTGGCAGGTTCTTCCACATTCCAAGAGATGGGCCTGAACATCATCCATGGGACTTAGAAGGGAGGCAACCTGGAATCAATTTAGTGACTGAAGTAGAAAAAGAAAATTAGGTCATTTCTTTGGAGAAAGCTGTTGCTATGCAGCCCTCACCTGAAGCCTGGTGAGAAGCACGCCCAGAAAACAATCCAAAGAAGCGTATTTACTTATTTAGGGAGACTTCGAGTGTGAGAGGGGCACAGTAGCTTGGTGAGCAACACACACACCCAAGAAAACTGAAGTCAAGAGTTTGTTGTCAGTCTGAGGCAGCAGAGTTAGAGACAGACAGACAGAGACACGTACATACTCTGAGATAGAGAGAGAACCACAGAGACAACGTAGGGTCATTTTAAATCGCATTGAGGAGTTCTTCCTGCTGACAGGCAGTAAATGGTCAGATTCCCAGAAGCTGAGAAAGGAAAGCTAAGCAGCTGGTTGGGACCACACCATGCTGGCCAATGTCCTTACAAGTGCCCATGGAGTCCCCTTTCACATCCATACAGCCCGGTTACTCCAGTGCTGCCAAATGAGACCTTGTCTCTCCTCCTCCTGCCAACACTGGAAGGTTGGAAACCAGTGTGATCCTGCCAGATGAAAAGAGAGGGAGGATGGAGGAGTGCTCCTCACAGCATGTGCCCACACCTGTGCGCAGTGGGGGGAGGGCACAGGCCACACCTTGAAGTAGTTATGTAATTATCCCACACATGAATGACCAAATGGAGAGAGTGTGGGGACTAAGGTGACTGAAGCCTGTAGCCTGCCCAGCAGCTCCTCCAGGACTGAAAAACAGGTTTGAGCAGGCTGGGGTGGGGGCAGAGGCAGGGTGGGGGGAGCTCGAGGTAAAGCTGTGTTCTGGTTCTGTCACCAACCCTGCTCCTCCAAAGTGCTGGCTGTGCACTCCTCACTCTACTCAGAAAAAGCCTAAAGTTCTGTCCTGTCCCCTCCCTGTGTTCACGTCATCCTGGACCCTTACCTCCTTCCATCTGGCCTCAGCTCCAGCAGGCGATGCCCCATTAGCTGCTCATCCAGGCTGCTGGTGCCTTGGGCTAATGGCCCTTCCACCCCACCCATCTCTCTCTTCCGGCCCACTGCCCATCCCAGCACCCTCCCTCAGCCCAGCAGGGGACTCCAGAGCCTCAGAGACATCTGGCAGCACTAAGAGGTGAGTCCTTCTTTCTGTGGCTCCTCTCTACACCAATAATTATTCCCCGGACTCCCAAATCCCCCTGCTTAGGGCACCCCCGAAATCAGCTAGGGTCATTCTCATGGACACAGTGGGACCTGGCTTCCCTTGGGTTCTCTGCTGGGGGGATCCTTTAGCTGCCCTTTGCCACAACATCCACCCTATTCAAACCCCAACTTCTCCTTTCCTTGGTTAGGCGTTATCACCAACTTTCCATGCTGAACAGGTGGTCCATGGTGGGGGAGCAGATACTTCTCTTCCCAGCGAGCTGGGGACAGGGGAGTGAAAGCAGAAGTCTAACTTCCATGTCTAACAAAAGCACATACTGTGGGGCCCAACTCTGTTTTGAATTCTCTCTCCCCCTTCTCTCCCCAGAGTCTCCGAAATTAAATTAAGCAGCCTTCGTTCTCCTGGGACCTGCATGCTTTTGTTCTATCTTCTGTCAATCCTCGATCACATTCTTTATTTTAAGAGGTGATACACTGGAAAGAAAGCAGAGGCCTGAGGGCTAGCGGTGCTGCTTATCATCCGGCTCCCCTGCTGCGGGCTGCAGATGGCTTCCAACACTCTGAGCGGTTTGTGACTTCCAGAGCTCCCCTCCTCAGGCCCGAGATTTGAGGGCAGGGAACAGTGAGCACAGGAGCCAACTGGGCCACCGGGCCCCATGGACCTGCCCCCGCAGCTCTCCTTTGCCCTTTATGTGGCTGCCTTTGCACTGGGCTTCCCACTCAATGCCCTGGCCATTGTGGGTGCTGTGGCCCACGCCCGGCTTCGCCTCACTCCCAGCCTTGTCTATGCGCTCCACCTGGGCTGCTCAGATCTATTGCTGGCGGCTTCCCTTCCCCTGAAGGCAGTGGAGGCCCTGGCCGCGGGAGCCTGGCCTCTGCCGGCCTCGCTCTGTCCTGCCTTTGCCTTGGTCCACTTTGCTCCGCTCTATGCGGGTGGTGGCTTCCTGGCTGCCCTGAGTGTGGGCCGTTACCTAGGAGCTGCCTTCCCCTTGGGCTACCAAGCTGTGAGGAGGCCCTGCTATTCCTGGTGTGTGTGTGTGACCATATGGGCCCTTGTCCTCTGTCACCTAGGGCTGGTCTTTGGGTTGGAGGCTCCGGGAGGCTGGATGGCCAATACCACCAGCTCCTTAGGCATCAACACACCAGTCAACGGCTCTCCAGTCTGCTTGGAGGCCTGGGACCCAGCCTCAGCGGGCCCTGCTCGCCTCAGCCTCTCTCTCCTGCTCTTCTTTCTGCCCCTGACCATCACAGCCTTCTGCTACGTGGGCTGTCTTCGGGCACTGGCCAGCTCAGGCCTGAGTCACAGACGGAAACTAAGAGCAGCGTGGGTGGCTGGTGGGGCGCTGCTCACACTGCTGCTCTGCTTGGGACCCTACAATGCCTCCAATGTGGCTGGCTTCTTGCATCCCGACATGGGAGGACGCTGGAGGAAGCTGGGGCTTCTCACAGGTGCTTGGAGCGTGGTGCTCAACCCATTGGTGACAGGCTACTTGGGAAGGAGGGTTGGCCGGGGGACATCATGTGGGGCAAGAATGAAAGGGGGTACATCCCAGAAGTAGTAGCCACTGCTGGGGGGCAGGAACATGCAGCAGCATCCTGCTGCTTCTCTAGGCACCTGGTGGGGGCTGCTCCAAAGGAACTGCAGGGTGGCCTTGCCCTGGGGGCACCCCTGCAGCCACTTATGGGAAGAACTGAGTCTGACAAGATTGCATCCCATTTGGAAAGAAGAATGGAGGCCAGGAGCTGGGTCGCAGGAGAAAGGTAAATTGATCTCTGCACACAGCAGCAGACTCTCCCCATCTGTCTCTCCTCTCCTTGATCCTCACCTGCCTGCCTGCCAGTGTGTAATGGGCAGAGGCCTCTTACTAAAGGGAAAGTAGGAAGGAAGTTTGCTTCTAATCTAAAGGAAATGCTAATCTGATAATACATTTTGGGAGATGTATTTTCTAGGAGAAAACAGCTTAATTTCTGACTGAGACAGGAGGCAAAATAATAACACTGTAATAACACTAGAAACTCACAAGAGGGCAACATTAGAACTGTGAACAGGAAGTTGAGGGGAAGGGATGCTTCCACAGGGTAGGGGGGGAATATTAGCAACACCAGAATTGGTTGCAGACAAATACAGAGCTTCTAATACACGACAGTCACCATGCCAAGTGCTGTATAGTGTTGTCTCATTTCATCCTCACACAGTCCTTTGATTCAGCCATGCAGCTGGGCAGGTTGTTCATTAACTCAATTCTAGCCAGTGGTTTGCTCACCAAGACATATGCTTGGCACAGGGGTGGCTCCATCCAGGGGAAGCAGCATCTTATTATAATTGGAACAAAAACACCACCCACTTCTTAAACAGTACATATTGTGCCTGGAGGGGGCATAAAGAAAAAGGTGCTGCATAAGTTAGTGACAGTCCTGAAGGGCCCCAGGGAATAACTGAAGCCATTATCTTCTCTATTTTGCAGGAAGAAAAAACTTTCCCAAGGCCCTACAGCAAGGAAGGGGTAGATGTGGGATGTGATCTTTCAAGGCAGGGCCCCAAGAGTCAGGGGACATTTGGAAAACTTAGGGTATTGGGTTAATGCCTATCCTTGGGGTCCATTTTACAAAGGTGGATGGTGGCACCCTGAACCCACAAGAAAACAGAGAAGAGAGAAACCATAAAGGAGACAGACACTTGGGAATCTGCTCTGACCAGGCCAGGCATAGAAAGCATATTTGTTTCTCTGATGCTGACAGTGCTGTGAACATATAGGATCATCGAAATGGTAGCTACATGGCCAGCATGTGTGAACTGATTTATACAAGTTATTTATTTTCGTGCTTAAATGTCTACAAGGGCAAGGAATTTTGTTTTATTTTCTGATATATTCCCAGCACCTAGAATGAGCTTAGCACACAGTAGGCTGTCAGTAAACATTTGCTACCTAAGTGAATACTCACTATAGCTCTCCAGAGAAAGTTTTCTTGTTCTAATATATAAAGAGCCAGGATCTGTAATGTTCAAAATGACCCAACAGACAACCAAATGCCAGTCTGTGCATGCAGCAGGATCAGATGAGCGGGGACTGGCAAGCAGGCTGAACTGTTGACCTCTCAGTCCCTTCTGAGTCGTGGGCACTGACTGCCACCACCAAGGTGGGTGTGATGTGATTGGCTGGGGTGGCCCGCCATCACCCCATAATTACCCCACAGAGGGAGAGCCAGGTCTGGGGCCTCCCTCTGTGGGGCAATCAATCACAGACCTCCCAGAGTGCAAGAGGGTGCAGATACCTACCTATAAGGGAATTGGGTCACATGGTAAGTTTATGTTTACATTTTAAAGAAACTCACCCTGCTTAAAAGTGACTCCACTATTTTGTATTCTCATCAGCAACATGTGAGGATTCTTCATATCCTCACCAACACTTGACATGATCTGTTTTTACTATTAGCCAACCATTCTAGTAGCATGTGAATAAAATGGTATCTCATTGTGTTCCATACATACTTGAATGAATAAATAAATAATCTCTGAAGCTGGACAGAACTTGAGTTTGAATTCTGGTGGTGATTACCTAGAGCAAGTCACTTCTGCACTGTGAGGCACAAGGATTGCAAGACATAATGGTGATACCTTGAAAAGCAGAATATCTGCTATAACTTATGTGCCCCCTAAATGGTGGCTATTATCATCATTATCACCATCATCATTATTATTACCATCAACCCAGGCAAGGACAGGCCCATACCAGTGACTGGGATGATGACAACTAATATAATACCTGCTAAGTGTTCATCCTAACATGTCAGGCTCGCTTCTAAGCATTTGATATGTATTAATGCTTTAATCTACATAATAACGTATGAGATTGGTACTGTGATCATCTCTGTTTTAGATGAGAAAGCAGAGATTCAGAGAGTTCCGTATCAGAATTAATAAGTGACAGAACCGGCATTGAACCCAGGCCATACTGTCCATCACTGCATCCTGCTTCTTTGTCCTTACAAGGCAAACTAGACGAGTGCCATTTAGCAAGCATATAAAATGCAAGTGGAGAATGGGGGAAGGAGGGATGAAGTCTGCTCAGGCCTGGTGGGGCATTCCATTGGAGGCTGCCCTCGGAGCCAGGCCTACAGTTGTGGAATTTGCTCTTCATTTTGCATACAGAGCTAAAGGCTTCTTTTGTGCTATGGCTCAGCAGTGAGCGACGTCATGGGCACTGCCAGATCTTTATCAGTTCTGTCAGAACCATAGCTAACTGCACTTGTTCTGGAGGAACCAGCAAGGTGCCAGCAGCAGAGCACTTGGGTTCCTAAATAAGCAGGTGAGTGCGGGGTCCTGAGTGGCTATGTGGAGGAGCAGCTTGGCGCTTACTTTACTGGGGGAAGCAATAGGAGACAGGCTGACCAACTGGGGGAAAGCATTGGGGGCAAGAGAAAGATAAGTGGTGACGATGTTCTCTGGATTGTTGAGATGCTGCTGGGGCAAGGTCTCCACCCACGCTGCCATCTCTCTCCCTCTCTCTCTAGTGGCCATCACCATGGACGCAAGCCAGGACCCCTCCTTCTTCCCCGGCAATCACTGGCTCTACTTCTCCGTGTACCTCTTCACCTTCCTGGTGGGGCTCCCACTCAACCTGGTGGCTCTGTTGATCTTCGCCCGCAAACTGCAGCGCCGCCCAGTGGCCGTGGACGTGCTCTTGCTGAATCTGACCCTCTCGGACCTGCTCCTGCTGCTCTTCCTGCCTTTCCGCGTGGTGGAGGCGGCCAGTGGCATGCGCTGGCAGCTGCCTTTCATTTTCTGCCCCTTCTCCAGATTCCTCTTCTTCACCACCATCTATCTCACGTCCCTGTTCCTGGCAGCTGTGAGCATCGAGCGCTTTCTGAGTGTGGCCTACCCGCTGTGGTACAAGGCCCGGCCAAGGATCCTGCAGGCTGGCCTGGTCAGTGGGGCCTGCTGGCTCCTGGCTGCTGCGCACTGCAGTGTGGTCTACATCGCCGAATTCTCAAAGAACTCTTCCCACAGCACCTGCTACCTGGAATTCCAGAATGAGCAGCTGGCTTTTCTCCTGCCTGTCCGGCTGGAGATGGCTGTGGTCCTTTTTGGAATGCCCCTGCTCATCACCAGCTACTGCTACAGCCGCCTGGTGTGCATACTCAGGAGGGGAGCTAGTCACCGGCTGAAGAGAGTGGCAGGGCTAGTGGCAGCCACGATGCTTAACTTCCTCATCTGCTTTGGGCCCTACAATATTTCTCATGTTGTGGGCTACCTCCAGGGTAAAAGCCCAGTGTGGAGAAATTATGTGCTACTCCTCAGCACCTTCAATTCTTGTGTTGATCCCTTGGTTTACTACTTCTCATCATCTGGGTTCCAAGCTGACTTTCAGAGGCTGCTGCAAAGGCTGACGGCGATCTGGGGCCTCTGGAGGCAGGTGAGCTGCTTGAAACTGAAGAAGAATGGAGAGGGGCAACTTCAGGAGCTGTCCAATGTAGAGTAGTGGACTCTAGGAGTGCTGTGGAACAGATGGCCAAGTGGCCTGAATTGAAAGACATCTGATTCACAGGGCAGTTCTGAGCTCAAGTCAGGCAGAACCTGGGAGTGGCAGGCTGGGGACTGATACAGTCAGAGCAGAGCAGGCACCCAGCCTTCCTGAGGATGTACTCATCCAAGCCCAACTCTTGATTTCACCATACTTCCTCCCTTCCATCTCCCCACATGCTGTGGATTAGGCCCTGGGAAGTAGTCAAGGTGAGAGAGAGTTCTGGAGAAAAATGAGCTCTCGGTGGCAGCAGTGTAAAAAAAAAAAAAAAAAAAATGAGCTCCTGTGCTTTTCTAAGTGTAAAAGAGGAGGTGAGAGCAGTGTCCAGGGTCAAGGGAGCTACCCAGTGACTTGAGACGAGAGAAGAATCTATCCTTCAGAGCCACTGACCTGGCAAATCAGGAGTGGAGGACACAGGATCCAGGCATGAAGGAACATCCTGCTCTCACATGGACTTTTCCAGAAAGTTTCCATTGTTCAATAAATTCAGATTTCCAGGAACATTTATGAAAAATGATAGAACAAAAATCACCTAAATAAATTGATAGCAAGCAAAAGACAATGGTCTTTCCTTATTCTGTTTTCTTATGGTGTACATGTGTCAGGTGGAATTGGTGTGTAGAAGGATTCGGAAGGGAAAGGACTAAACCATAAGATGTCTGAATGCTGGCAGAGGATCTGGGTTGGAGGAATAACAATGATAGCTGACATGGACATGTTATTTTCTTCAATCTTCTCAATAACCCTTTACAGATGAGGAAATAGGCCCAGGGGGGTGAACCCTCTTTCTTACCTGAAATCCTACAGCCAGTAAGAGATTAAAATAAGACCTCAAGGTGGGATTAGCTGACTCTGAAGTCCATGCCCCTCACCCACTATGCTGTTCTGTCTCCAGCTGTGTGTTGCCACAGTGATCTGGCCAGTCCATCTTCCAGAGTCAGGGGGGCAGTCTGGCCAGTACAAATGCCAACAGGCCACAGTGAGACATATAACTAGATGCTGATCTGTGCCCATCTAAGCAGGCAAAAGAAACTGGT